ATAATATTATATATATATATAAACATATTCCTGCTGCCAACTAAACTGAAAGCTTATGGTGAGCTGATAGTATGTTTATACATGCAAATAATTAAAATTGTTATTATTTTTTAAACATTATAGTGTTGCAGTGACCATGATATTGTTGCCCAGCGAGGGATATGGAAAACAAAATATACCAAAACCCTGGAGAATCATAGCTAAATGTACTTAATTACAGCTGTGATGTGATCACAACAAGAAAGCTTGAATGCAACTTTGCAATCTTATCTGCATGTAGAGTGCTTACATTTTCATGCAGAGTTTAAATTAAAACAGATACTACTGTTATCATACATGCTGGTCAGAGGTAATTGAAAGAACAGCCATAAACTGCAGTGCTTTTTAAGCATTGTGGAAGAAGAAACAGGTGTACTTTGTGCTTATTATCTTCCAAACAAGCTGTAAATGAGTGGACATCAAGCAAAACAAATGTTTCCTTCAAAAAGAATGTAACACCTGTGCACCATACACAAACGAAGGCTTGACTAAACAAAGTCATATAAAAAATATGTATCTATATGTTTATAAATAAATATTTCAAACATGACAAAAATGCCCAAAGCAGTATGGGTTATCTAAGGAGACTGCACAGCAGTAGCAACCTTCCTTGATGCCTTGCCTTTTTTTATCCAGATCTCACGCTGTGCCATCTGATAAAAGATGAGTCACTAATGTAAAAACATTCAGCTCAAGCTACTAAATTCACTATAAGTCACTTTCTAGTGCTATTATCAATTGAATTACAAAAAAATATGTTTTTATCTCCTATTAATACCGGTTTCTTTTGTAATATAGAAAGGAAACCATATATATAATTTTACTTACATGACTGGCCTAAAATATTTTCCCTAATTGAGCAAACCCAACATGTGTTCATAGCATCTAATGAATAGTGTTTATCCTAGTAAAATAATTATATTGTTAGGAATACTGGAATAAAATGACTGCTATACAATATGGATTTTCTGCTTTCCTGTGATAGGATGAATTCCAATTTGACAGAACCAGATTACTGATATTCTCTGATCTCCACAGCCGGAAAGGACTTGATATTTGTAAGATATGCAAATGACTTGACCATGATTTGTCACAACTGTCCTCTGATAAGATAACTCCTAAGCAATAACTGTTCTAGTTACTGTGCAGAGATATTTTCAAGCATGCTAACAAATCTTTGAGAGTGTTTGATGGATGTTCTAGTTTTCATGTAGATAGATCAGCAGGTACTTCGCCCCATTAACCACATTTGTATGTTTTCTGATTAAAGCAGAAAATTCAAAGTGGAACAAAGCAGTGCAGTAATATGGACTAGCATGGACATACTTTGAACCACCTACAGTTCTCTGTGAAAAGATCAGCTGGGTGTGTAGCTTGGGATCAGTAAACTGATAGGAATAAGGATGAGTGAACCAGGTAAAGTTTGATTTGCTGC